GCTCAAGTGATCTACCTCACTCAATCTCCTGAGTAGCAGGGATTGGAGCTATGTATAACAAAGATGGGCTTTATTTTTATTTTTTATTTTTGTCAGTCGTGGGGCTTGAACGCTGGGTCTGGGCGCTGTCCCTGCGCTCTTCAGCTCAAGGCTAGCGTTCTACCACTTGAGCCACAGCACCACCTCTGGTTTTCTGGTGGTTAATTGGAGGTAAGAATCTTGCAGACTTTCCTGCCTGGGTTGGCTTTGAATCTCCATCCTCAGATCTTAGCCTCCTGAGTAGCTAGGATTACAGGTGTGAGCCACCCACACCCAGCAATGTTAATTCTTTTTAAGACAAGGTCTTGGAACTTTTCTTCTCAGAGTTGGCCTCAGATGACATCATCAGCCTCCTAAATAACTAGAATCCTAGTTATTTAGCCACCAGTGTCTATTATTATTTAAAATTTTAAATTTTATTTATTTTTGACACAGGCAGTGACTTTCTATGTCCCTGACTGGGAACTACAAAGTTCTTAATCTTCCTATCTGAACTTCCTGGATACTGGAATTATTATTTTTTAACTGGTATAAGAAACATGAACGTTATTCATATTAATGGGGTAGCATAAGATGTTTTTGCTATATTTATACATTGTATAATAGATCATGGCCTTATTATTTTTATCTGAGGTTAGACTTTGTTCTCCCACAAGATAAAATGTCTTAAAGAGAATTGCTGAATAATCAGAGCCCAGAAAAGCAACAATGAATATTTTGTATGCCAGGAAGGAGGCAGAAGTCTAACCAATTGATGCTGATAATGAGTTAGCTTTAAACTGTAAGAGGGCAGAGTAATAATACCCTGATCTCTCACCTTCAGGGATTAATTTGCTGTTAGCTCTCCAGGACAGTTTTAAACTGCTCTGTTCACTACTGAGATGCTAGCGTTCAGCACAGAGTAGGTCTAAAATCAACACTGTTGGAATGGCCCAGAGCTTCAAGGCCCCTGTGAAGTCGTTGGTGAATGTACTCTCTCCCTTAAGGGGTGTTTTGTTTTTGTGTTTGTTTTGTTTTGTGCTTATACTGGGGCTTGAACTCAGAGGCTCTTACTTGTGCCTAGAATATTAAGACTAATATTCTACCACAGCTCCACTTCTGGCTTTTTGCTGGTTAATGGGAGATAAGAATCTCTTATATTTGTCTGCCAGAACTGGCTTCAAACCTTGATCCTCGGGTCTTAGTCTTCTGAGTAGCTGCAATTACAGATGTGAACCACTGGCACCATGCTTCTCCTTTGACTTTTGGTAGGCCCATCTAGGGGAAGGGTCATCTAGGGCCTGAGGGGCTGAGCCAGACCCAGCCCCATGCCAGAGTCCACACTGAGCATCTGGGATTTTGTTTTGCTCTTACCAGAGCCCAGGAGATAGCTGATCTTGCCCTCTGATTGTAACCCAGGGAACCAGCTCAGAGAGGTTAAGGAACTTTTTCCAAGTCACCCAGCAAGTTACAAACTTGAAGGACCCAGGGAGAAGATCATGGTTTCTTTTGAAATAAATCTCAGAGGCAAGTGGTAGGTGCCCACTTTTTGGGCAGCGGGCTTTTCCAATTCTCCAGGGTGGGTACCAGGTGCTTCCCTCCTGTCTGGATCTTCTAGGCCAACTGACATTGTGTGGGAGAGCCCTTCAGGACAGGGGGCCTGTCTGCTGTCGCTGTCTGTTAGGTCATGAGGCCAGATCTTTTTTTTTTTTTTTGGGGTCCGGTCATTGGGCCTGAACTCTGGGCCTGGGCGCTGTCCCTCAGCTCTTCGGCTCAAGGCTAGCGCTCTACCACTTGAGCCACAGTGCCACTTCCGGCTTTTTTCATTTTGCTTATGTGGTGCTGAGGAATCGAACCCAAGGCCTCAGGCATGCAAGGCAAGCACTCTACCACTGAGCCACCTTCCCAGCCCATGAGGGCTGATCTTGACGTGAAGTTTGTGGATGGAGTGACGAGGCCTCTCCCTCTCTGAAGCTCACTGCCCTGCACTGCACAGCCCATTCTTGTTTTGCCACAAGGGAGCTCTGACAACCTTTAGATAGGTGTGTCAAGTGAAGGTGAGGGGAGGTAGGGATGGCAGGCCTGGAAGAGGGAGACGAGGAGGTGACCTTGAGTTTCAGGAGAGGAGATGGAGCTGGGCGCTGGTGGCTCAGGCCTGTAATCCTAGCTACTCACCAGGCTGAGTTGTGAGGATCGATGTTAAAGCCAGCCTGGGCAAGAAAGTAGAGGTGTGGCTGAAGTAGAATGAAGGAGATGTGGGAAAAGGAAATCATGGCCACACATAGTAGCACATGCCTATAATCCATACTTATGGCACTGAAGCAGAATGATCTTGACTTTGAGGCAAGTCCAGGCTGCATAGTGAGGCCCTGACTCAAAAAACAAAACGATTGCTGGGCACTGGTGGCTCACACCTGTAAACCTGGCTAGCTACTCGGGAGGCTGAGATCTGAGGATCGTAATTTGAAGCCACCCGGATGAGGGGCTGGTGAGCTTTTGGTCTGTTTAGAGTTAATGGCCATTGGACAGTGAGAGGAGGACCCAGGAGGAACTAGGAACATTGGGAATGGGGTTGAAGATAAGGGTTGTTTTTATAGGGGGGTGTGTGTGTGTGTGGTACTAGTAGTGGGGTTTGAACTTAGGACCTCATGCTCTTGCTTAGCTTTTTTTGGCTCAAGGCTGGCCTACTCTACTACTTGAGCCACACCTCCACTTCCAGGATTAGTTGTAGGCTGGGGGTGGGGGGGGTGGGGGTGGGGGTTGGGAGGATATTTCTCAGGAAAGAAAAGTAGCTTTTGGGTGAAGCCTTGAAGGAAGGGCGGGCTGCTGTTGTGAGATTGCTGTTAGGTGGTTCTTTCATTCAGCAAACACTGTTTTGCTGAACACCAGACGGTCACAAAGTAACAAGATAAACTACTCTTACTGAGCTCACAGTGACAGCTGTAATGTTCAGAGGGTGTTCCAACCATCACAGGATGATCAGATTGTAGCTAACTCAAGCACAGAGATGGGGGTGGGACAAGGAAAGCACTATAGAAATGGGTTCAGAGACATGAATAGTGTTAGGAAAATGGAGGAGAAAGGAAGGAAACAAGCTGGACTCAGTCTTGCACAGGTGAGGGCTGTTTATTGAATAGAGTAGCAAGGGACACAGCCTTCCTGTGGGCTTGGAGACTGCGCAAAGAGCTGGGACAGGAGTTGGGTTCTTGTGAGGTCTGAGCAAGGAGACAGAGGTTAATAAAAAAGCCATTAGGTTTAGGGAAGTGGGGGGCTTTTCAGTTGGGCCCACAAAGGAATGTTTACAGCCAGGCTCAGGTAGATTGCCCTGTCCAAGTCAGGCAGTCTACACATCTCTTTGGTGGCTTGCCTGGTATCTGTTTGCACCTGGGAAAACAGTGGGGGTGGGGGGGGTCAATCCTTCTTATTCCATCTTTGGATACATGGAAAGAATAGGCTTAGAGGCAAGTCCTTCATATAGGGTCTTGGGATAGAAAGAATGGACTGAGAGGGGAGCAACATGAGATATGAGAACTGAGAAGATTCCCATCAAATTGGAGTTTTCCAGGTAGGCCAAGCTGGGCGATGGTGGCTCATGTCTGTAATCCTACTACTCAGGAGGCTGAGATCTGAGAATCTCGGTTCAAAGTCAGCCTGGGCAGGAAAGTCTGTGAGACTCTTATCTCCAATAAACCACCAGAAAACTGGAAGTGGTGCTGTGGCTCAAGGGGTAGAGCACTAGCTCTGAGCTGCAGAGTTCAGAGACAGTGCCCAGGTCCAGATTTCAAGCCCCATGACTGACAAAAAGAAAGAAAGAAAGAAAATATCTTAGAGGAGACAACCTATGTAAAGCTACAGATATATGAAGCAGTGTGAAGGGAGAGTCTGGTGAGGCTGTGGCTGGGTTTGAAGTGCATTGTGGTTGAGTACCAGGGCTAGGGGAGGGAGAGCCAGCAGATCGCTTAGCAGTGGGAGTGGTGTGTCTGCCAGTGAAGTCATTGTTGCTCCCAGGGGCTTAGAGGGCCTGTCCTCATCTCCTGGATTCAAAGTGACAGGTATATATCTTAGCAGAGAAAACAGCTGGAGCTGCTGTGTGGGGCCTAGGCTGGGAAGCAGTGAGTGAGGCAGGGAGCCTGTTCTAGGTCCTGGGACGTATCAGTCTGCAACGATCTCTTTTTTATTGATATTACTTTTGTTTTTCTTTTTTTTCTGTTGGTTGTGGGGCTTGAACTCAGGGCCTGGGCGCTGTGCCTGAGCTTTTCTGCTCAGGGCTAGTGCTCTACTACTTTGAGCCACAGCTCTACTTCTGGTTTTCTGGTGGTTAATTAGAGCTAAGAGTCTCACAGACTTTACTGCCCAGGCTGACTTCAAACTGCCATCCTCATATTTCAGTTTCCTGAGTAGTTAGGATTACAGGCGTGAGCCACCAGGGCCTAGCTGTTTTTTTGTTTTTTTTTTTGGGTCCAGTCGTGGGGCCTGAACTCTGGGCCTGGGCGCTGTCCCTCAGCTCTTCAGCTCAAGGCTAGCGCTCTACCACTTGAGCCACAGCACCACTTCCAGCTTTTTTCTTTTTGCTTCTGTGGTGCTGAGGAATCGAACCCAGGGCCTCATGCATGCAAGGCAAGCGCTCTACCGCTGAGCCACCTTCCCAGCCTTGTTGTTTTGTTTTTCTTGTGCTGGTACTGGGTCTTGAATTCTGGGTCTGGGTGCTGTCTCTTAGATTTTTCTGCTCAAGGCTGGCATTCTACCACCTGAGCCACAGCTCCACTGGAGCTTTTCGATGGTTCATTGGAGATAAGAATCTTCACAACCACCCAAGCTGGCTTTGAACCCTGTTTGTCAGATCTTAGCCGCCGTGGTAGCTAGGAATAAGTCTTCTTGCTCGCATGAGGGGGAGCTGAGCTCTTCCTTCCTCAAACCTGAGGACTGAGATGTTGGGAGGAGGGAGGAAGACCTGGGCTGGAGGGGGCTAGGTTGGGGTAGGTGCACCTGACTTCGTTCTGGTCTCTCTTCCAGCTCCTTCCCCAAGTCTCAGCCATGGCCATGGCGGTAGCCCAGAGGTTCAGCCACCTGCTGTCCAATCTGTGGCACGTTGGCCAGGGGCCTGTGCAGCCAGAGCCCGTGTTCACGGTGGGCCGTGCCGAGGTGCCACCCCTCTTCTGGAAGCCCTACATCTACGCGGGGTACCGGCCTCTGCACCAGACCTGGCGCTTCTACTTCCGCACGCTCTTCCAGCAGCACAACGAGGCGGTGAACGTGTGGACGCACCTGCTGGCTGCGCTGGCGCTGCTGCTGCGGCTGGCCATGTTGGTGGGCACGGTGGACTTCCAGGAGGACCCGCACGCCTTGCCACTCTTCATCATCGTCCTGGCTTCCTTCACCTACCTCTCCTTCAGCGCCCTGGCACACCTCCTGCAGGCCAAGTCAGAGTTCTGGCACTACAGTTTCTTCTTCCTGGACTATGTGGGTGTGGCCGTGTACCAGTTTGGCAGCGCCCTGGCACACTTCTACTATGCCATTGAACCTGCCTGGCACGCCCAGGTGCAGGCCATCTTCCTGCCCACGGCTGCCTTCCTCGCCTGGCTTTCCTGTGCCGGCTCCTGCTACAACAAGTATACCCAGAAGCCAGGCGTACTGGGCCGCATGTGCCAGGAGGTGCCCTCGGCGCTGGCCTACGCGCTGGACATCAGCCCCGTGGTGCACCGCATCCTGATGTCCCCTCACCTTGACACGGACGACCCGGCTCTTCTGTACCACAAGTGCCAGGTGGTCTTCTTTCTACTGGCTGCGGCTTTCTTCTCGACCGTCATGCCTGAGCGCTGGTTCCCTGGCAGCTGCCACATGTTTGGGCAAGGCCACCAGGTGTTTCACGTCTTCTTGGTGCTGTGCACACTGGCTCAGCTGGAGGCCGTGTCGCTGGACTATGAGGCCCGGCGGTCCATCTATGAGCCTCTGCACACTCGCTGGCCCCACAACTTCTCCGGCCTCTTCCTACTCACTGTGGCTAGCAGTGTGCTCACTGCCCTCTTTCTCAGCCAGCTGGTGCGCCGCAAACTCCATCAGAAGATCAAGTGAAGGGTGGGTGACAGCTGGGGGTGGGGAGGGAAGGGAGAATGCGAGAGGGGTTGGGGTAGGCAGGGGGCCCTGGCTTAGCTCCAGATGGGAACAAGGCCTGGTCAAGTTGCTTATGTCTGGCCACGGTGACTCACTGCACACACCTCCGTTGGTAAGGTCACACTGGCTTGAGGACTGGCCAGGATCTTTTGGGCCTGCCTAGCTCCCTGACCTGGGAGAGGGAGAGATGAAGGTGTGGACCCCCATCCTCCCCCCTTGCTGGCTGCCCATCCACTGCCTCATACCACAGGGGCTGGTCAGCCTGGGTCAGGATCCTAGGGTGGGGCTTCCAGGTTGTCTAGGTGGGAGGTGAAACTTAGGCCACTATCAGATGGGAGCTGGGAGGCTCTACCACTATGACAGTTCAGGAGAGGAGAGGGAGCAGGGTCAAAGATGTGCCTGGATTGTTGACCCCCACCCTCTATTGTAAGGGAGTCCTATCCTGTGTGCACATCCTCCCGGTCACCACCCAGTGTTCCCCAATTCTCCTAGCTCTGGTCTCTGTCCCACACAGTGGTGTCAGCTTCTGCCCCATTTGCCTTGTTCCTGATGGCACCAGTCATCACTCTGTTTCCTGGCCCTCTAGTCAGTGCATCAGGGCAGGATGACAAGGGCTTTCCCGGAATGAACCATCCAAGGAAGCACCTTGGGAAGAATGCTCAATGCTGCTTGGGGCATTCGGGGTATTGGGTCCGGAAGGGTGAGTAGGAGTTTGCAGAATAGAAGGGTGTTCCAGGCAGAAAGGAAATCTTGTGCAAAAGCTCAGAGATGCAGGAGCTGTTCTGTGGGGCTGGAGCAGAGGGTGGTCTGAACTCTGAACTCCTGGATTCAATAAAGTGACTGTGATAAAAGCTCCTTTTTGCCTTTGTCTGCCCCCCACCCCCACCCTCTCTCCTGGTACTAGAGTTTGAACTCAGGGCTTCACAATTGCTTAGCTATTTGTTTAACTGGTACTCTACCCACTCAAAACAAAACAGACGAGCCACACCTCTAGCCCAGCAAGATGTTTTGTTGGTTATTTTGGAGATAAGAATCTTATGGGGCTAAGAATGTGGCTTGGTAGGTAGGTAGAGTGCTTGCCTAGCATGCACCAAGCCGTGGGTTTGATTCCTTAGTACCACACAGTGCCCAGGCCCTGAGTTCAAGCCCCAGGACTCAAACCAAAAATTATTTCGGGTTGGAGATGTGGCTCAAATGGTAGAGCATTTGACAAGCACAAGCCTAAGTTCAAATTTCAGTACTGTAAGGTCTGCTCCTGGATGGCAAGCAAAGTCTCCACCCAGTACCTATGTTACGTAGGCAACTGGCACACCTGGAAGAGGTCACCTCTGGATTCGAAGTGGCCACACCTTTCCCCGTCCCCACCCTAGATAATGCCTAGCCCAGGGTCAGACGCTCTCTTTCCCAAGTCTTTTCCCAGCTGTGTGGAGTGCCAACATGGCCTGGTGCCAGCTGGAATGATGAATAAACCTACCCCTTACCTGAATACCACGTGCGTGGTGTGTTCTTACTCAGCCGCCTCTCTTTAAGAACTTAACAAGTACCAACAAATAACCCCCCCCATTTCTTTTTCTTTTTTATTGTCAGTTGTAGGGTTTGAACTCGGTGCCCTGGCTCTGTCCCTCAGCTTTTTCACTCAAGGCGAGCACAGTGCCACTTCTGGTGTTCTGGTGGTTAATTGAACACTGATCCTCATATCTCAGGCTCCTGAGTAGTTAGGATTACAGGCATGAGCCACCAACATATGGCTTTTCATTCTTCCCTTTCTTTCTCTTTCTTTCCTTCCTTCCCTCCCTTCCTCCCTCCGTCTCTCCCTTTCTTTCTCTCTATCTCTCTCTCTTTTTTTTCCAGTCCTGGGACTTAAGCTCATGGCCTAGGCACTGTCCCTGAGTCTCTGTGCTTAAGGCTAGCACTCTACCATTTGAGCCACAACACCACTTCCGGCCTTTTCTGTGTATGTGGTACTGAGGAATGGAACCCAGGGCTTTGTGCATGCTAGGCAAGCACTCTACCACTAAGCCACATTCCCAGCCTTTTTCTTTTAATATTCTTTTGTTTTTGTTTTTTTTTTTGTTGGTCGTGGGGCTTGAACTCTGGGCCTGGGCGCTGTCCCTCAGCTCTTCAGCTCAAGGCGAGCGCTCTACCACTTGAGCTACAGCGCCATTTCCGGTTTTCTGGTGGTTTATTGGAGATAGGAGTCTCACGGTCTCTCCTGCCCGGGCTGGCTTTGAACCGCGATCCTCAGATCTCAGCCTCCTTAGTAGCTAGGATTACAGGCGTGAGCCACCAGTGCCCGGCTCTTTTAATATTCTTTAAAAACAAAAACTCCAACCTCTAAGTGAATAGTATTTCTCCACATCCTATTCTAGGATGTGTCTCAGTGGGACACCAGCATTTTGTATTTGAAGTGCCTTCAAAATTTGTAGAAGCTTCACAAATGTTACCTCATTTGATCCTCTAAAATCCAAGGTTACATAATAATTGCTGGGAGGTTTTTGTTTCCGTGCTGGGGGTGGAGCCCAGAGCCTGGCGCGTGCGGAAGACGGGTTTGTGAATCGGTTTTTCTTTCTTTTTTTGTGGTCGCGGGTCTCGAACTCGGGCCTGGGCGCTGTCCCTGCGCTCTCCAGCGCAAGGCGAGCGCCACCTCCGGCCTTCCCGCGGTTCATTGGGGATCAGAGCCTCCCGGACTCTGCTGCCCGGGCTGGCTTTGATCTCAGCCTCGGAGCAGCTGGGCCACTCAGCCGTGAGCCCCGGCGCCCGGCTCGAATCCGAGGTTTGATTTCGTGTCACTACTCCCGGAGTGTGGAGCGCCCGGCTCTGGAAGGGGCATCCCTGGCCCTGGTCCACTGTCTCCCAGGGGGATGGTGGCGAGGAATCACTGAGGGCAGAGCAAAGCCCTGGGCAACTCAGCGAAACCAAAAGGAGGCTCCTGGCCCGTCCGGGAGAACCATTCACAAAGCAGGGCGTCCAGAACCCGTCCTAGAGCCGGTCCACCCCGGAGACGCCAACGGCGCGTGCGCCAAGGCTCGCCGCCGGCGGCTCGGACGCAGGGGGCAGGGCCTTGCCAGAGGCGGCGCTTACGTCACGACGCCAGCGACGTGCTCCCACCTCCCGCGTTGGCGCCAAATCCAAACTCTGCCGGCTCCGGCTCTGGCGGTTCTTGTGGCGTCCGCAGCCCGTGGGCCGCAGCCCGTGGGCCGCAGCCGGTCTCCTCAGCCGCCATGAGGCGGAGAGGCCCGGAGGAAGAGGCCTGCGGCGTGTGGCTGGACGCGGCGGCGCTGAAGAGGCGGAAAGCGCCGGTGAGCGGGACGGCGTCGAGGGGCTGGAGGAGGGAGGAGTTTGGGGGGCATCTGGGGGTGACGGAAGTAGATGTCCGTAACAGTTTTGGGGCGCACGGACGACGGGGGCGGCTGCGCGGGGGTCGGGGAGGCTGGAGCAAGCCGCGGCGAACGCAGCCCCGCCGGGGGAGGGCCGTGCTACGTACAAGTGGGGCCCCTCTCCCCTCCTCCTTCCCTCCCCCTCCCCCCTCCCCTCCCCTTCTCCCTCTCCCTTCTCCTCTCCCCTCCCCCTCCCCTCTCCCCTCCCCCTCCCCCTCCCCTCTCCCCTCCCCCTCCCCCTCCCCTCTTCCCTTCCCCTCTCCCTTTCCCCTCGCCCTTCCCCCTTCCCCTCTCCTCTCCCCTCCCCCTTCTCCTCTCCCCTCCCCCTTCCCCTCTCCCTTTCCCCTCTCCCCTCCCCCTTCCCCTCTTCCCTCCCCCTTCTCTCCCCTCCCCAGTGGGTCGTGGGGCTTGACCTCTGGGCCTGGGCACTTCCGCTCTACCACTTGAGCCCTACCACTTCCGGTTTTCTGGTGGTTCATTGGAGATAAGAGTCTCACGGTCTTTCCTGCCCGGGCTGGCTTTGAACCTCGATCCTCAGATCTCAGCCTCCCGAGTAGCTAGGATTACAGGTGTGAGCCACCGATGCCCGTCTTCATTTATTTTCTTTCCTTCTCTGTACTGGGGATGGAACTCAGGACCTCCAAGCTTGACGTGCAAGTACATCCTTTGTTGATTTTTTAGTTTGTCTTTCAGATAGTGTCTTGTGCTTTGTCCTGGCTGGCTTTGTACTACTATCTTTCTACTTCTGCTCCGCAGGTACCTGGGATTATAGATGTGTTCTACCACACCCAGCTTACTTTTGAGATAGAATCCCCTCTCCCCCCTGTCCTGGGGCTTGAACCCAGGGACTGGGCACTGTCCCTGACCTTTTGCTCAAGGCTAGCACTCTACCACTTGAGCCACAGCACCACTTTGGCTTTTCTGCTTATATGGTACTGAGGAATGGAACCCAGGGCTTCATGCATGTTAGGCAAGAACTCTACCACTGAGCCACATCCCCAGACCCTCTTCCTAACTTTTGTGTGGGCTGGCCTCCAGCTATGATCCTCCTGTTTCTACTTCCCAAATAGCTGGGGTTACAGGCCTATTCACTCCATTATGCCAGATTTATGGCTCAATTTATATGTTTTCATAGAGTGGCTTTACTCTTGTTGTATTACATCATGTAGAATAGTACTCATTACATGAAATAATATTGTCAGCATAGGCTGCCCTAACAAAATGCCATAGACTGGATGGCGTAATAGTTTGTTTTCTCACAGTTCTAAAGGATGGACGTCACATTAGGGTGCCATCATGGTCCTGTCTGGCAGAGGCTTTCTTCTCTCGGTGCTTAGGTGCCTGACTGTATGTGCATGTGTGGGAAGAGACATCAAACTCTTTGGTGTTTTCTGTGGTTGTTGTTTTGTTTTTAATTGGTATTGGATTTGAACTCAGTCACGCACTTGATAGACAGAGGCATCCTGGCACTTGACGCATAGTCCCCACCTCTCAGCCCATTTTAACTGTGCTCATAGTTAAAGTGAATCACCAGACACTTCTTAAGGCGATGAGCTTCCTCTGGCCACCCATTTGTTCTCGTATTTTTTAGACTTCAGTGAACCTGACTGTGCTTCACTCTGCTCCAGCCATCCTGGCTGTGAGAGAAGCAACCCTCTGCTTGGGACTTTGTACCACAAGGCTTAAAATGCCTGGGGTTTAGTCAGTTACATGCTCTAGTCTTTCCTTTGTTCAGATACCCTCTTATTAATACCTTTCCCTTAACCACCATAAAATGATCATTCCCTTATCCTACACTCCATATTCCATCACTCTTTTCCTCCTCCCTTTTTTTTGGCATCACTACTTTTTTTGTGTACCAGTACTGGGGCCGGAACATAGGGCCTCTCAGTCTTTCTTAGCTGTTTTTCTTGAAACTAGCACTTTACCACTTGAGCCATATCTCCACTTCTAGCTTTTTTTGGTGACTAACTGGACATATGGATCTTATGCTCTTTTCATGTGTGGGCTGGCTTCGAACCGTGATCCTCAGATCTCAGCCTCTTGAGTAGTCAGGATTACAAGTGTGAGCCACTAGTGCCTGACATCTCGCTTTACATAGCACTTGTCACACCTCTGACGTATTGTGTATATGAATTTCCTATTCACTTGTTTTCCTCCTACTAGAATGCAAGTTCTACCAGGCAGTCCTTCAGATAGTATGAATATTGAGTGAGCAAGTAAATAAATGAGAGAGCTAATTCACCTGGGCTGAACTTTCTTTTTTTTTTTTTTGGGTCAGGTCGTGAGGCCTGAACTCTGGGCCTGGGCGATGTCCCTCAGCTCTTCAGCTCAAGGCTAGCGCCCTACCACTGAGCCACAGCGCCACTTCCGGCTTTTTTGCTTATGTGGTGCTGAAGAATCGAACCCAGGGCCTCTGGCTTGCAATGCAAGCACTCTACCACTGAGCCACCTTCCCAGCCCCTGGGCTGAACTTTCTTGTCTGAGTTGTAAGTGTTTATTCTTTCTCACTTTGGTGAGAGGGCAAGTAGGAGGATTTTAAGCTTCACAGTGTAAATTTGGCTGTTTAAAACGTGTGCTGGGTTAGGGCTGGGAAGGTGGCTCAGTGGTAGAGTGCTTGCTTTGCATGCATGAGGCCCTGGGTTCGATTCCTCAGCACCACATAAGCAGAAAAAGCCGGAAGTGGCACTGTGGCTCCAGTGGTAGAGCGCTAGGCTTGAGCTGACGAGCTGAGGGACAGCGCCCAACCCCAGAATCTTTAAAAAAAAAAAAGTGTGCTTAACATCTCCTTTCTGATAAATATTGAAAAGGAGAAATTTTATTGAAACTGCAGTGAAAATAAGGAAGTCTGAAGTAGTAGCCCTGTTAGGGTCTGTACTGTAAGACTGGTAAGGGGTTCCGACATAAATTAACAAATATTTATCAGTATTGTAGTGATTTCTTACAGTTGTAGTGACTTCTTACAGTTGTATGTGCCTGGGAAGCCATTTTAATTATCAACTGGACTTTCCTATATCAGAAACAGGGGTCAGTCACCACTGAAATGATTCCTAGTCCACCAGCCCCACACTCCCAGTCCTCTATATGGTCAGTCCCGGTAGAGGCTGATGCACTGCTCCCTCATGAGCACTTCCTGAGTGGCAGCCTGTTTGACCAGCTCCACTGGCCCTCATACTGTTACCAAGTATGCAGATATGAGACTGTCTCAGTCACTGTGTGACCTCTTGGAACTAATGTCGGCTTGCGTTAAACCCACCAACGAAAACTTCCCAAGGAGCTGAGTGCTGGTGGCTCACGCCTGTAATCCTAGCTACTCAGGAAGCTGAGATCTGAGGATGGTGGTTCAAAGCCAGCCTGGGTAGAAAAGTCCATGAGAATTACCTCCAGTTAACCAGCAAAAAAACCCCCCAGAAATGAAGCTAAAATAGAGTGCTAGCCTTGAACAAAGAGCTCAGGGGCAGGGCCCAGGCTCTGAGTTGAAGCCCCATGTATGATCAAACAAACAAACAAACAAACAAAAAACAACTCCCCAAGGGAAACCTGTTTAGATGGCACCCTGAACCCACTATAAAGGAATTGGCCTTTAGGTCTCTCCCTGTCTTTCCTGTGCTCACTGTCCCCTTTCTTCCCCCCTACCCACTGTGTGTGTGTACATGTGTACGTATGTATACATCAAAAAAAAGACTACACATATGTCAATTTTTTGTTTGTTTTAGTTGGTTCTGGGGCTTGAACTCCGGGCCTGGACACTGTCCCTCAGCTCTTCGGCTCAAGGGGAGCACTCTACCACTTGAGCCACGGCATCACTTCTGGTTTTCTGGGGGTTAATTGGAGATAAGAGTCTCATGGACTTTTCTGTCCAGGCTGACTTTGAACCACGATCCTTAGACCTCAGCCTCCTGAGTAGCTAGGACTACAGGCATGAGCCACTGGGACCCGGCTCAGTTCTTATCCCTTCAAAAGATGGAGCCTGCCTTTGTAGTAAAACTAACACAAACTTATAGCTAAATTATCAGAAGTGATAAGTGAGGGACCAACTGAATTCAAGTTGTACAGGCAGGTTAGAATAATCTCATAGCTGAGGATTATGTATATGATCCTGATCTGTTTTGATAAGTGTAGCAAAGCATAGGAATGAATATTTTCAAGGTGAACTTAATAGTCAAACAACAAATTGTCACTTTCTGTAATCATCACAAGGAAACCTTGTGATAGCGAGAATAGCAGGGACTTTTTCCTTTCACCATTGTGAAAAAAGAAAATCAAAAAGCATGCATATGATAGGTCAAAGAATCAGTCTTGGGACACTGGTGGCTCACGCCTGTAATCCTAGCTACATCTGAAGATCGTGGTTCAAAGGCAGTCTGGGCAGGAAAGTCCGTGAGACTCTTCAGTCAACCCCTAGAAAACCAGAAGGGGCTTAAGTGGTAGAGCAGTTGCTTTGAGCGGAAGAGCTGAGGGACAGTGCCCAGGCCCCGAGTTCAAGCCCCACAACTGATCTAAATAAATAAATAAATAAATATCAGTTTTTATTGCAAATTAGGTTCTTAGGGCATTCTGTGTGTGGGTGTGTGTGTTTGTTTGTTTGTGTTTGCACGTGTTCTGGTTCTGGGGCTTGAACTGAGGGTCTGGGCACTGTCTCTGAGCTTGTTTTGCTCAAGGCTAGTGCTCCACTACTTGAGCCACTTGTGGCTTTTATTTTATTTTTTTGAGCAGTTTTTTGGAGATGAGTCTCACATACTACTGCCTGGGCTGGCACTGGACTGTGATCTTCAGATCTCAACCTCCTGACTAGCTAGCATTACAGGAGTGAGCCACTGGTGCTCAGCTCTCTAGGCATCTTACTAAGAATTAAGAATTATTAATGATTAACAAGAATTGTTAATTCCACAGTTAATGCTTATCAAGTGGTTTGGTCCTGC